CCTCCTCGGCCAGGGCGCCTCCTCGGCCAGGGCTCCTCCTCGGCCAGGGCTCCTCCTCGGCCAGGGCTCCTCCTCGGCCAGGGCGCCTCCTTGGCCAGGGCTCCTCCTTGGCCAGGGCTCCTCCTTGGCCAGGGCTCCTCCTCGGCCAGGGCGCCTCCTCGGCCAGGGCTCCTCCTCGGCCAGGGCTCCTCCTCGGCCAGGGCTCCTCCTTGGCGAGGGCTCCTCCTTGGCGAGGGCTCCTCCTTGGCGAGGGCTCCTCCTTGGCCAGGGCTCCTCCTTGGCCAGGGCTCCTCCTTGGCCAGGGCGCCTCCTTGGCCAGGGCGCCTCCTTGGCCAGGGCTTCTCCTTGGCCATGGCGCCTCCTTGGCCAGGGCGCGTCCTTGGCCAGGGCGCGTCCTTGGCCAGGGCGCGTCCTTGGCCAGGGCTCCTCCTTGGCCAGGGCTCTTCCTTGGCCAGGGCGCCTCCTTGGCCAGGGCGCCTCCTTGGCCAGGGCGCCTCCTTGGCCAGGGCGCCTCCTTGGCCAGGGCTCCTCCTCGGCCAGGGCTCCTCCTCGGCCAGGGCTCCTCCTCGGCCAGGGCGCCTCCTCGGCCAGGGCTCCTCCTTGGCGAGGGCTCCTCCTTGGCGAGGGCTCCTCCTTGGCGAGGGCTCCTCCTTGGCCAGGGCTCCTCCTTGGCCAGGGTTCCTCCTTGGCGAGGGTTCCTCCTTGGCGAGGGCGCCTCCTTGGCCAGGGCGCCTCCTTGGCCAGGGCGCCTCCTTGGCCAGGGCGCCTCCTTGGCCAGGCCGCCTCCTCGGCCAGGGCTCCTCCTCGGCCAGGGCGTCTCCTCGGCCAGGGCGTCTCCTCGGCCAGGGCGCCTCCTCGGCCAGGGCGCCTCCTCGGCCAGGGCGCCTCCTCGGCCAGGGCTCCTCCTCGGCCAGGGCTCCTCCTCGGCCAGGGCGCCTCCTTGGCCAGGGCGCCTCCTTGGCCAGGGCGCCTCCTTGGCCAGGGCTCCTCCTTGGCCAGGGCTCCTCCTTGGCCAGGGCTCCTCCTCGGCCAGGGCTCCTCCTCGGCCAGGGCGCCTCCGTAGCCAGGGCGCCTCCTCAGCCAGGGCGCCTCCTCGGCCAGGGCTCCTCCTTGGCCAGGGCTCCTCCTTGGCCAGGGCGCCTTCTTGGCCAGGGCTCCTCCTCGGCCAGGGCGCCTCCTCGGCCAGGGCTCCTCCTTGGCCAGGGCGCCTCCTCGGCCAGGGCGCCTCCAGACAAATAAAGACATTAACTTTAAGACGAAGAGAGCCACCAGACTGTGTGTGTGTGACCTGTGGCGCGGTGGGTGCTGTCCTCGCACCTCCCAACACACGGGTCTGGGGTCAGGCTCTGGGCTGGACAGAAGTGGTTGGCAACGTTTCTTTTCATCTGATGCATCTGTTCACTTGGCTGTAAATTGGTATTCTGGAGTTAGGCAACTATTGTGGGTTGCATCCTGTGATCCCCCAACTCCCACGCTTTTCTACCCCCCCTACGACCCTTCTCTCCCCCCCCCCCCCACGCCCCATATCTCTCACTTTCCTGGACGAATAGAGTGAATGCTTTTTTGCCTAGAGAGTGACTCCGATTAAACCAATTATCAGTTTTAATTCAGTGTCCGTTGTCGGGAGCGTTGACATACCGAGGTCCCCTACTAGCTCACCTACTGACCTTCCCCAGCATGCAACCCACAACAGTTGCCTCGCTCCCGGGTACCTATTAACCGGTAGGTGAACAAGGCGCAACAGGTGAAGGGAAACTTGTCCAGCTCTCTTGATCAGGACTGGAACCCGGGACCCTTGCTTGTGAGCCCAGGATATTTCTCCTTGTTATTGTTAGATTAAATGACGCTAAGTCAGTAGGACTATGTCGCCCTTGAGGTGGGGACCAGGAGCTGGGGTGTGGGGGGGACCAGGAGCTGGGGTGTGGGGGGGACCAGGAGCTGGGGTGTGGGGGAGACCAGGAGCTGGGGTGTGGGGGGGACCAGGAGCTGGGGTGAGGCGGGGACCAGGAGCTGGGGTGTGGTGGGGACCAGGAGCTGGGGTGTGGGGGGACCAGGAGCTGGGGTGTGGGGGGACCAGGAGCTGGGGTGTGGGGGGGACCAGGAGCTGGGGTGTGGGGGGGGCGACGGGGAGAACTCTCACTCTCACACTTGCTCTCACAATCACTTTGAGCGCTCTCTCGCTCTCTTTCTCGCACTCTTTCTCTCTCTATCTCTCTTCTCCTGTGTACGCACCTAGTTGTACTCACCTAGTTGTACTCACCTAGTTGTACTCACCTAGTTGTGCTCACCTAGTTGTGTCTGCAGGATCGAGCATTGACTCTTGGATCCCGCCTTTCGAGCATCGGTTGTTTACAGCAATGACTCCTGTCCCATTTCCCTATCATACCTGGTTTTAAAATTATGAATAGTATTTGCTTCCACAACCTGTTCCTGAAGTGCATTCCATTTTCCCACTACTCTCACGCTAAAAGAAAACTTCCTAACATCTCTGTGACTCATCTGAGTTTAAAGCTTCCACCCATGTCCCCTCGTTCTGCTATTATTACGAGTGAACATTTTATCTATGTCCACTCTGTCAATCCCTCTGAGTATTTTATACGTTTCTATCATGTCCCCCCTCTCCCTTCTTCTTTCTAGTGTCGTAAGGCAGAGTTCCCTCAGGTGCTCCTCATACCCCATCCCTCGTAACTCTGGGACGAGTCTCTTTGCAAACCTCTGAACCTTTTCCAGTTTCTTTATATGCTTCTTCAGATGGGGACTCCATGATGAGGCGGCATACTCTAAGACTGGCCTCACGTAGGCAGTGTAAAGTGCCCTAAATGCCTCCTTACTTAGGTTTCTGAATGATGTTCTAACTTTTGCCAGTGTAGAGTACGCTGCTGTCGTTATCCTATTTATATGTGCCTCAGGAGATAGATTAGGTGTTACGTCCACCCCCAGGTGGAGCCGGTCGGCCGAGCGACAGCACGCGGGGCTTGTGATCCTGTGGTCCTGGGTTCGATCCCAGGCGCCGGCGAGAAACAATGGGCAGTTTCTTTCACCCTATGCCCCTGTTACCTAGCAGTAAAATAGGTACCTGGGTGTTAGTCAGTTGTCACGGGCTGCTTCCTGGGGGTGGAGGCCTGGTCGAGGACCGGGCCGCGGGGACACTAAAAGCCCCGAAATCATCTCAAGATAACCTCAAGATAACCTCAAGGTCTCTTTCTCACGTCGTCACAGGTAGGCTGTTCCCCTTCATTGTGTACTGTCCCTTTGGTCTCCTATCTCCTAGTCCCATTTCCATAACTTTACATTTGCTCGTGTTGAACTCCAGTAGCCATTTCTCTGACCATCTCTGCAACCTGTTCAGGTCCTCTTGGAGGATCCTGCAATCCTCATCTGTCACAACCTCGTGTGTGTGTGTGTGTGTGTGTGTGTGTGTGTGTGTGTGTGTGTGTGTGTGTGTGTGTGTGTTCAACCCGTTCTCGCAAATTCGTAAAGTCAATATTGACTTATTAACTACGTGCATAGGTGACATACTTAACATAATAGATACCCTTAAAAAGATTCATAGAAAACACCGACCTTACCTAACCTACTTAGTATGTTAAGATAAGCATCTTATTGCTTCGTAATTACAATTATTACCTAACCTATAATAGGTATAGGTTAAGTAATAATTGTAATTACGAAGCAATAAGATGCTTATCTTAAGATACTAACAAGGTTAGGTAAGGTCGGTGTTTTCTATGAATCTTTTTAAGGTTATCTATTATGTTTAGTATATCACCTATGCACGTAGTTAATAAGTCAATATTGACTTTACGAATTTGCGAGAACGGGTTGGTGTGTTACACACTCACTCACCTTAGGCAGATTTAGATCCAACGATTGAGAGTGGAGAGGAGGCCGACAAGACAGTCAACTCCTGGGGCCAGATTCACGATAGCACTTACGCAAGCACTTACGCAAGCACTTACGCAAGCACTTACGAACGTGTACATCTTTCATCAATCTTTGACGGCTTTGATAACATTTATTAAACAATTAACAAGCATGAAAACTTGCCATTCAACTGTTGTTATTGTTATAAACAGCCTCCTGGTGCTTCGGAGCTCATTAACTGTTTAATACTTGTAAACAAAGCCTCCAAAGATTGAGAAAAGATGTACAGGTTCAAAGGTGTTTGCGTAAGTGTTTTCGTGAATCTGGCCCCTGGCATCTCTAACTTTGTGTTTATATTGTGATGTCTTGGTAAGTTCTTGTTTATACTTACCACCTCCCCCCCCCCCACTACCTCCTCCTTACACTCCCTCCCCCCTTCCAGTCCCCCCTTCCCCAGTATTCCCTACCTTAAAATTGCAGGTGTGTGAGAGAGGCTCCAGGCTGCCTTTCTCAAGCCACGAGTCTTGTTCTCCTGCCGTCTGGGGTGAGGTCTCGGCTCTCACAGACCTTTGTGCTGGTGGTCCGGAGTTATTGCTGCTAGGTGCGCGCTCTCCTCCCTCTCACTACTCCCTCCCCTCTCCCTTCCACTACTCCCCTCTCCCTTCCACTACTACTCCCCTCTCCCCTTCCACTACTCCCCTCTCCCACTACTCCCCTCTCCCTCCCACTACTCCCCTCTCCCTCCCACTACTCCCCTCTTCCTCCTACTACTCCCCTCTTCCTCCTACTACTCCCCTCTCCCTTCCACTACTCCCCTCTCCCTTCCACTACTCCCCCTCTCCCTCCCACTTCTCCCCTCTTCCTCCCACTACTCCCCTCTTCCTCCCACTACTCCAATCTTCCTCCCACTACTCCCCTCTCCCTCTCACTACTACTACTCCCCTCTCTCCCTTCCACTACTCCCCTCTCCCTTCCACTACTCCCCTCTCCCTTCCACTACTCCCCTCTCCCTCCCACTACTCCCCTCTCCCTCCCACTACTCCCCTCTCCCTCCCACTACTCCCCTCTCCTCCCACTACTCCAATCTCCCTCCCACTACTACCCTCTCACTACTGCCCTCTCCTCACTGCCCACAGGACGACATCGGCATCAGCGGCGTGATCGGGTCAGCGGTGTTCAACATAATGTTCGTGATCTCTGTGTGCGCGCTCTTCGCGGGTCACGTCATCTACATCAACTGGTGGCCGCTGGTCCGCGACTCCACCTTCTACTGCATCTCCATCTTCGCCCTCCTCCTCACCATCTATAATGAGGTGGTTACCTGGTATGTTACCCTGGCGGTGGTTGGTGGGGCTTCCTGCTCCCTCACTGTGTGTGTACTTTCCCCTCCCTGTCACACACTCCCCCCCCCTCCCTGTCACACACTCCCCCCTCCCTCCCTGTCACACACCCCCCCCTCCCTCCCTGTCACACACTCCCCCCTCCCTCCCTGTCACACACTCCCCCCCCCTCCCTCCCTGTCACACACTCCCCCCCCCCCCTCCCTCCCTGTCACA